CTACTATTTGCTTCATTTCATTTTGATTCCTCCTTAATATTTCATTTTCACAAGAGAGATTTTCTATCCTGTCCAGTAAGGATTTCTGTAGTTCAAGATTTTGTTTTTGAGAACTTCTTAATGTTCTTATCAATTTTTTGAGATCTGCTTCTTGCATTTCTTCTATCTCATCATCTTCATAATCTTGAATTGAGGTGTCTTGTTCATTTTGGGGACATCATAGTGTCTTCCTTATTCTTGTTTCCTTGGTTTCTGCATTTGTTGTTTGTCATATTGGAGATATTCTTTGGTTTCTTCACTGTAGTGGTTTTTCTCGTTATACTATGAGTCTAGATTAAGTGGATTGTCTGCTTTTGATGGATCCTTAGAGGCTGTGATAGGTGTAACCATAGAGCTCTGTTTGGTTCTTCAGGGTTAAGGATGTGCCAAATGTGACTCACCCAGGTTGTTTCTCTCTCTCTCTCTCTCTCTCTGTTTTACTCATAAGGGAAGTAATTCCACACAGCTGAGTGGAATTGAGAGTAGTCGACATATGCAAATCAATCAATGTGATACATCACATTAACAATTTTAGATCAAAAACTATATGACAATCTCAATATGTACAGAGAAAGCATTTGACAAAATACACCACCTTTTTCTGGTGAACACTCTAAGCAAATTGGCTATAGAAGAAACATTCCTAAACACAATCAAGGCAATTTACGACAAACCCACAGCCAGCATCATATTGAATGAGGAAAAGTTGGAAGCATTCCCACTGAGATCCAGAACCACACAAGGATGACCACTCTCACCATTGCTATTCAATATAGTACTGGAAGTTTTAGCCAGAGACATTAAGCAAGAAAAATAAATCAAAGGGATGCAAATTGGGAAGGAGGAAGTCAATTATTCCTATTTGCAGGTGACATGATTCTATATACAGGGGATCCAAAAGACTCCACTAAGAAACTATTAGAACTCATAGTAGAGTTTGGTAAAGTAGCATGATATAGAGTCAATGCAAAAAAATCAGCAGCCTTTGTATACACAGACTATGCTATGGCTGAGAAAGAACTTTTAAGGTGAATCCCATTCAAAATAGCTACAAAAAAGTCAACTACCTTGGAATAAATTTAATCAAGGATGTCAAAGATCTCTATGATGAGAATTACAAAACATTAAAGAAAGAAATAGAAACAAAAAATGGAAAAATCTTCCATGTTCTTGGTTTGGAAGAATCAATATCATCAAAATGTCCATTCTTCCAAAAGCAATTTACAGATTAAACGTGACACCAATCAAAATATCAAAGACATTCTTCTCAGATCTAGGAAAAATTATGCTGAAATTCATTTGGAGGCACAGGAGACCTCAAATAGCTAAAGCAATTTTATACAACAAAAACATAGCTGGAGGCATCAGAATACCAGTTTTCAAGACATACTACAGGGCAGTTATAATCAAAACAGCATGGTACTGGGACTGAAGCAGATGGATAGACCAATGAAATAGAATAGAAACCACAGAAATCAATCCAAACATCTACAACCAACTTATAACTGACCAAGAGGCTAAAACCAATCCCTGGAGCAAGGACAGTCTCTTTAACAAATGGTGCTGTGAAAACTGGATTTCCAAGTGCAGAAGAATGAAGCAAGACCCCTACCTTACACCTTACACAAACATGAATTAAAGATCTAAATCTTTAGAGAGCATCATAGAAACCCTGAAAGATATTGGCACAGGCCAAACTTCTTGGAAAAGACCCAAGAAGCATAGGCAGCCAAAGCCAAAATTAACAACTGGGATTACATCAGATTGAGAAATTTCTGTATGGCCAAAGAAACAGTCAAGAAATTGAAGATGCAACCAAAAGACTGGGAGAAATTATTTGCAAAATACGCAGCTGATACAGGCTTAATAACCAGAATCTACAAAGAGATCAAGAAACTCCACAACAACAAAACAAACAACCCACTTAAGAGATGGGCCAAGGACTTAAACATTTTTCAAAAGAGAAAATCCAAATGGCTAACAGACTCATGAAAAATGTTCAGGATCACTAGCCATCAGGGAAATGCAAATCAAAACCACAAATGTGGTTTCACCTCACTTTGGTTATTATTGCGGCCCTCATACAGATATCAACAAACAAAAGCTGACAAGGATGTGGGCAAAAAGGTACCCTAATCCATTGTTGGTGGGAATGTAAGCTGGTACTGCCACTATAGAAAACTCTATGGAGATATCTCAAAAATCTAAATATAGACCTACCATATGGCCCAGTAATCCCACTCCTGGGAATTTACCCAAGGGAAATGAAATCAGTAAAGAAAAGAGCTATCTCCACCTCCCTGTTTATTGTCACTCAATTCACAATAGCTAAGACGTGGAATCAACCTAAATGCTCATCAATCCAAGACTGGATAAAGAAATTATAGGATATGTACACTATGGAATAGTACACAGCAATAAAAAAGAAATCCAATCATTTGCAACAAAATGGATCAATCTGGAAAGCTTTATACTTAGTGAAATAAGCCTGTCCCAAAGGAACAAATACTATATATTATCCATGAACATGTTCTGTGAGAACTTAAAGCACATCTAAAATGAATGCTGTAGAAGTGAAATTGACACTTTGAGAAACATGAGTTGAACAGCCTTCTTCTTGACTGGTGAGGAACAGTTTTTTATTTTTATTTCGATTTTTTTTTCTTTTTTCTTTTCTCTTCTTCATACTATATGTTGAACTCTTTACTTAACATAGAGTTAATTATATGTCAATTGAAAATAGATCTCAATAAAAAATAAGGGGTAGAATAACAGAAGGAGGAATAAGTTTGTAAGTGTAGAGCTGTAAAATGGCATCCTAATTGTTAAAGTGATCAAATTAAGTGTTGAAGTGAACATGTACATAAGATTAAGTGTTAAGGAAATCATATAAATAGCATCAAGTGCCTGGTAATAATAATAGAATTAAAAAGGAGGGACTGTCCAACATGGGAAGCAATCCACACAGCAGACTCATAGAATGACAATCACTTTAAGTAACACTCTGACCTCAGAATCAGCCCTTCAGGTATTGCGATGTGGTTGAAAAGCCCATGAGAGCAATTCAGGCAGGGAAAGCCAAGACTCTGTGGCAAAAAATATCCTACGTGAAGGATCCCTGTGAATGACAACCCAAGGAAAGAAAGGACCTTCAAAGAAGGATTTACTTTTCTCTGAAAGGAGGAGAGAACTTCCACTTTGCTTATGGCCTTGTCTAAATACTGATGGAGTTTGTGATCACAAAAGGCTTACATAGCAATAGCAGCTCGTGGCTAGAGACTCAGGTGACCACTGATGTCATAAATAAGACTGTTAATTGTTAAATTAACAGCAGAAGTCACTGTGCACTTACTCCCCATGTAGGATCTCTGTCCTTAATGAGTTGTTCTATGAGAACTAACTGAAAGTTAATTAGTTCTCAAACCGTACTTTTTATGTTGTATGTGTGTGTTTGTGGGTGAAAATTGTTGAACTCTTACTTAGTATAGAGTTGTTCTTCTGTAATAAAGTTAATTAAAAATGAAGCTTAATGAAGAATGGTGTGGGAGAGGGAGTAGGAGGTGAGATGGGAGTGTGGGTGGGAGGATGGGTATGGGAAGAAAAAACACCCAATTCTTGAAGTTGTATGTTTGAAATTTGCATTCATTAAATAAAGGTTTTAAAAAATAATAAAACTTGTTCTCAAAGATTTACTTCTTTTTAGTGTATTAAATGGAGGATATTCTTATGTCTCGTAAGTTATAGTTATGTCTAAGTGCTCTCAAAAGAAGTTTCATTCTTGGTTCTTTCTTAAAGTTAATTAAGTTTCCCAAAAAATGCTAAAAAAAAGGAGTGAAATTAACTTGAAGATTCAATGACTTTGAACAGTGCTTGCCTCAACTGTTGAGGAATAGTTTTTTTAATATAATTTGTTGAACTCTTAATATAGAGTTAATTATCTCTGTATAAAGTTATTTCAAAATCAATCTTAGTTAAAAATAAGACCGAGAACAGGGAATGGAGGAGGATGAGGGGTGGGAATGTGAATAGGAGGGCTCGGCTCTTATGGTAGGAAGAATCAGTATGTTCATAAATTTGTATTATGAAATGCATGAAGTTTGTATTCCTTAAATAAAAGGTTTCTTTGGGGGAAAAAGTGCACACTGGGGCTGGTGCTATAGTATAGTAGGCTAAGTTTTAGCCTCTGTTGCCAGCCAACAAGTGATTGGGCCCCTGCACCCTTGTGGGAGACCCAGATAAAACTCCTGCCTCTTGGCTTCAGATCTGCTAACTCTGGGTGTTTTGGCCATCTGGGGACTGAACAATCAGATGGAAGACCTTTCTCTCTGTCTCCTCCTCTCTCTCTGTGACTCTGCCTCTCAAACAAATACATAAAATCTTTTTACATGCATACTTTTATTTATAACACTATCATATTTCTTCTCAAATTAAAATCTTAGAATATTTATTCAAGTAAAACAAAAAACAATGTTAGTCCCATATGTGTGATGGTATCCTAATTAATTATTTAAATTTTTTGGCAATAGCCTCATTCCATATACTTCTGGCTAATTTCCCACTCCCATGTGTACAGTACCCAGGGGTCATGTGCAGGCAATTTTGCTCATGGGCTTGTTTTCATCCCTGCTTTACATCCTTGCTAGTACTGGCATAAGAGAGAGAAAATACACATAGAAACAGTGAATAAATAAAGTCTCCTCCTTTTACATACATATACAACCAACACATTTTATATTTCATTTTAGCCATTCTGAACAAGGGATTACAAATCTGTCACTGTGTACATTATTTCTAAAATATAGAAAAAGTAAAGATTTATATTATATTATATTATATTTTGAGGAAGTAAGAATATTACTTCTATAATTTGAATCTTATGTGGGGCTTAAGATCTTATTAGGTGCCTGGAGAAATTCAGAGAGGAGTGAAACTTGGTTATTCTGCATCCTACAACATTAGAGTCACAAACCAATAGACAGTTTTGCCTTCATAACAACCTTTTTAAAGGCACGCTTCACTTCCTTGTTCCTCAGGCTGTAGACAACAGGGTTCAGCATGGGGATGACCATGGTATAAAACACAGACACTATTTTGTCTGTGTCCATAGAATGACTGGAACTGGGCTGCAAATACATGAATATAAGCGTCCCATAGAAAATGGAGACTGCAGTGAAGTGAGAAACACAGGTGGATAGAGCCTTCTGGTACCCCGCAGCTGAGCGCATCTTTAGGATGGTGATAAAAATGAATGTGTAAGATATCAAGATAACAAACAGAGCAGAACAAATAACAAAGCTGTCTGCATAAACAAGAACTATCTCACTAACATGTCTATCAGAGCAAGAGAGAACCATGACTGCTGGAACATCACAGAAGAAGTGGTGGACCACATTGGACTTACAGAAAGAGAGACTGAATGTGTCTCCAATGTGGATGGAAGCATTCAGGAAACCCCCAGTGTAGCAGACTGTGGTCAGACAAGCACATACACTTCTTGTCATGATGGTGGTATAATGTAAAGGTTGACACACTGCTACATAGCGGTCATAAGCCATTAATGCCAAGAGAAAATTTTCCACACTGGCAAAGGTTGCAAAACAGAACATCTGGGCAGCACAAGCATTGTAAGAGATGACTTTGTTTCCCATAAGGAGACCAGCTACAACCGTGGGAGTGACTGCTGAAGAGTAGCAAACATCCACCAGAGACAGGTGACCAAGGAAAAAGTACATGGGAGTGTGGAGACGAGAGTCCCAGAGGATCAACA